AGAGGTAGGCAGAAGAGTAAGTACGTCTCTGTAGAGCAGCGCGAAGTGTCTACAAAGGTGGATGTAAGAGGGCAGAAGGGATGAAAGGGAAGAGCGCTTGTGGTGGTTGGGAGACAAGTGTGGGGGAGAAAGGCAAGGCGCGTCTGGGTGGTCAATCAATGGGCGCTTATCAGCTGATGGCCGCAGCCATCACTCCCATTGTTCCTCATTTTTCCTATCATCTCGTGATTTGCCTCGATCCGCCTCAATTCCAGCGATGTATAAGCCTACGGAATGACTAGCAATTGTACGTGTATGATTTCCATGTACATTGATATCACATCTGTTGACCGGTGATGTCCCGTATTGGCGCGGGGTAGCACATTTCGGAAGTTATGTCCGGATAAATGCGTATGTCACTTGAACTTCCACAGGCAGAGGTGATGATTATTGACGATTTATGGTATGGCTTAGAGCATTGGCACGATGTAGCCAGGCGAGCGTGCGAGGGACCTGAATAGCTGCTTGGCCCTTTCATTCCCCCCAATTGTGCAATCGAAGCCGATCCGTAAGGTCTGAGGCCTAACCCAGCTGGGATAGCGCGAACAGTGAGTGTATATCTCCTTACCTCTCTCCTCTCAAAGAAGGAGGTAGTTTATAATCTTCCTAGAGGAGGCAAAGGTCTGAGCGATTTGTCGAATCTGACTGTCAACGGTGGGCCCAGACGTCGTATTTAGTGCTGCATGTGTCTTGGCACTCGCTCTGCCTTTGTCGTTTTCTCAGGAGCACCACATTCCTTGAGTATAATGCGCATAATTTCCCTTCCATGGTCCAGCTGACTTTGCGCGGCAGATAACACGAAGAAGCTGCTCTGGGGTATCGACACTGGCCAATCAATCACGCCCGATTGCCATGGTTCTAGTCACTACAATATCATATTCATTTGTGATCTCCGAGCAATCTCGGAGGAATCTTAACGCTCTTTGGCCAGAACGCATATATTCCGGGGCCCACTATTCCAACTAATGTTTCACATCACCTCTTCAGACTATTTAATTGCCATAAGCGATGTTGAAGTATTCCCTCGAACGCGGGGAGGACTTCCACAGCGCATTCTACACCCCAAGTCCGCTCATTCAGGCGTCAATACTGCCAAACGTGTGGACTGCGCAGAGCATGAACGGCAAGTCCGCTATACACTGTGTTCCCATGCGTATCACCTAATTACCCTTCGTAGGGGAGCTTGCATAATTATAAGACTTCGCTGTTCACGTGTATTCATTCAGTATGTTCTGGAGGAAGAAGCAACACCAACCATCACCACGGGTCTTCCAAGAAACCAATAGTCTGTATGACATGTGACCGTAGCTCCTCATTCAGGCCGTAAAATGAGGGTATAAGTATCTAGTTGTTGCGAAGACCACCGTGAAGGATATCACCCACCCTCTGATCAACGCACCTTCACCTATGATCAATTACTTCAGTATCAAACTCCTCTATGGACTCGCGGTCTTCCTCATTGCCGTGATATGGGTTTGGACAACCGAACAGAAGAGTCGTTCGCGGCCGCCAGGGCCGAAGCCGATTCCGTTGCTGGGGAACATGCATCAATTGCCGCTAGAGTATCAACACCATACTTTCAAGAAATGGAGCGCCTCGTTCGGTTCGCCGAAAAGCCATCGCCGCGCGAGAACGGACACTGATCTCGCAATTTTTTTCCCAGGAGAACTCATTCACGCGCGGCTGTTCCGCACTGAAGCGTTGATCCTCAATTCCCAACGAGTAGCCCAGGACCTACTGCAGAATCAGGGATCATCATGTTCAGGCAGACCTCGGGCGGTTCTTTATAACGAAATGTGAGCGCTCTTGTGTGAACGAATATGAGAAGAATTAATGACGGCGCGCTCGGCAGGATGGGTTATCATATCGACTTCGCATTCATGCAATATGGTGAACGCTGGCGCAAGCAGCGCAGAATGGCTCATGTTGCTTTTCAGACAAACAATCGTTTGTTGAGCTACCGTGCTTTGCAACGGCGCGAAGCCCATGCACTGGTCATGAGGTTGTATGAGAACCCGAACCGGTACAAAGACCACGTCAGCACGTATGTACGACTTCTTGCTTGGGGAAGGTTGGACTAACTGTGTCCTAGATTTGCAGCTGCTGCAATATTCGACGTCGTCTATGGTTACAGAATAAACTCATGCAACGATGAGTGGTTCGACTTGGCAGAGAAAGCACTTCGAGTGACCGTGGAAGCAGGCAGTCCTGCCGCTACATTGGTCGATTTCTTCCCGTTCTGTTTGTGATTATTCTATGTTGCTCGATAGAATTGTGACATTTTTGGCTCGGGATTAGTGCAGCACCTTCCTTCATGGTTTCCTGGCTCGAAGTGCAATCAAAAGACACTCGAGGCCAGGAAGTTTATCGAAGATGCCGCGGAAAAGCCTTTTCAGATTTGTAGACGTGCTATTGTGAGCAAGATAGACTTCATCTTCATACTCGATGTTGACGTTAGTTCTGCAGGCGTCTGGAGAGGCAAACACGTCGTGGGTCGCCTCAATGCTGGCCGAGCACATGGAGGACGGTGTGTTATCGGAAGCTGACGAAGAAGACATCAAAGGCGTGGCAATGGGATGCAATCTTGGTGAGCTCTGCATTGTTGTGCTCAAGACTGAGCTTATATTGATGTTTGAATCAAGCGGGAGCAGAGACGGTGCGGAATGTATGCGGAGCTGCCTCGGCACGAGCGCTGAGGATTGTGCCCATAGACTGCAACAGTGCTGCTGACATTCTTGTTGGCAATGGTTCTTCATCCCGGAGTATTCGCTAAAGCGCAGCAAGAGATGGACCGAATTACGGGCAGAAGTCGACTTCCCGACTTTGATGACAGGGAGTCACTGCCTTATCTTGAGTGCGTTATACGAGAAGTCTACAGGTATGGCTCATGCTTGATGGTGCTTTTGTAGAGGACTTACTTCGCATACCAGATGGAACCCTCCCGCTCCACTCGGTACGAGAAATTAACCAAGTTGTTTGGATGACATGGTTTCGGCTAACGAAAGGCTCATCCAGGCATCCCTCACGCTACGACTGAAGAGGTAACATATCGCGGGTTCAACATACCTGCTGGAACAATGCTTGTTCAGAACTTATGGTATGGCTACCTCGATGACGTCGATTACTCATGATTGCCGAATGCACACGTCCGTTCGTTTTCAGGGCTATGATGCAGGACGCAGAAATATATCCACAGCCGGAGAAATTCTATCCTGAACGCTTCGAGAAGATGGGTGCAAACGAGATATCACAGAAGGATACGCGCAAGATTGTTTTCGGATTTGGCAGGAGGTCAGTCTGAACATCTTATTCTGGCAACCCATTGGACTCTATCAATGATCAATCCCCTTCATCTGTTGCAGAGCTTGTCCTGGCAGGCAGTTTGCAGATAGCAGTGTATGGCTTGCGGCGGCCTCGATGATAGCCACAATGGACATTGGCAAAGCTTGCGATGCAAATGGAAGAACGATCGACCCCACGTCGATCTTTCTGCATGGCTTTGTCAGGTATGTGCGCGATCTATTATGTACAGAAATGATCTGAGAACTCTCTTCAGTCGACCGAAAGATTTCATGTGTAGCATCCGACCCAGATCAGACAGCATCCGAGAGCTCATTCACCGGACGCAAGGTTAGCGCCTGTGATGTCTCTTGCTACTAGAATGGCCTAGTCCAGGAGGATGTATGCAGCCATCAAAGATGTTCTTTTCAATACTCCAAGGACTCTGAGCCACGCCTGAGAAGCGACGAGTGGACATGCGAGCGACGCATTTGTATCCTATTTCAGCTGGTCATTTACTCCGGCCCGGGCATCGACCATCAGGAGGGATGTCCTTGCAATGCGACCATTCGTGAGTCCTGATTATCATTTTGAAAGCAGCCGACCACGCGCGATAAATGCGTGATCACTAAGTCCCTGAGTCTCGTTTGCGTTCTTCTGCGACCCTTCCTGATTTCCACCAGGTGTGAAACGTTTCCTGCTAACCGAGGCTATGCGGGTCGGTGGACACCAGCTGTTGAGCACACGATGCGTAGTGATGATGTTGCTGGCTGATGTCCGTCGAGTCGGCTTTTCTTCAGAATGATATTCTGTGAGCGTCAATCTACTAGACTGTCGTGCTTTGTGGAGCAGATAGCATTGACATTCGCCACCTTGCCGCATTGATACTAGCCAAATTCTGGATATGCTGATTACATGAGTTACTGCTTTAGCCTGTCAAAGTCCGAGTAGAAACGCACCGCTTCTATCAACGACGCACTGATACCGCGTGTTTGTCATTCTCACCCAGGCCGTTTCGCAGTTCATATCCGTTTTAGTGGACCGATAAGCTTCCTTGTACATGCGAGCATTGGTTCATTACAAAGTCTTTCAAAATATGCTTGTGTATGCCTCTTAGGTGCGCGAATTTCCGCGTTATATGGCGCAGGTACAGCCCATATCTTGTTCTCGTCGAGGTTATGATGCTATTAGGATTGTTCATCTTGAACATGTAGGAACCATTTCACGCTCGCGTAGAAGAAGCGCCACGCCTGATGGTCCTGAAGGTTTCGCCGAGATTACCTAGCCCTCTTTTGTGTAAAAGATATGCGTCCACGGTGAAACCCTGTTGGCCGGGGCCGTCGGGCAAGTACGTCGATGATATATGTACTCCAGCCATCTTGTTATAATCGCCGCTATGCAGGCAGCCGAAAATCCGTTGAGATGCTTTTGACTCTGTACCAACCCATCTCGTTGCTGACATATGCAGTAACATCCCTCGTTATCGTCTCGACATGGCTTTGGACATCAGAAAAGAAGAGCCATCCCCGTCCGCCGGGGCCACGACCGATCCCGTTGCTAGGAAACGTCCATCAACTACCGCTTGAACGTCAGCAATATACTTTTAAGAAATGGGGCGAAACGTTTGGTATGCTTCGTTGCCATGATTTCCTGAACAGCTGATATTGAGATCAATTGCTTCAAAGGCGAACTCGTCTACGCCAGGCTATTCTTGAAAGATGCCCTTATCCTCAACTCCTTCCGCGTAGCCCAGGATCTATTGCAGGACAAGGGCGCGTTATGCTCAGGTAGACCACGCTCAGTTCTTCTTAACGAAATGTGAGTCAGGATCCTGTCTAATAATTGTTATGCGGTTACTGATGCCGCATGCGACCCTTAGATTGGGATATGATTTCGATTTTGGGTTTATGCAATACGGCGATCGCTGGCGCAAGCAACGCAAAATGGCTCATATCGCTTTTCAGACGAACGATCGTCTGTTGAGCTATCGTGCCATACAACGACGAGAAGCATACACTTTGATCGCTGAACTGTATGAGAATCCGAGTCTGCATGAGCAACACATAAGCAAGTACGTTCAGCCTTTCATATTTTAAGAACTAAAGCCGAATACGCCCTAGATTTGCAGCTGCTATTATTTTCGATATAACCTATGGCTATAGGATAACTTCATGCGATGATGAGTATTATGTTCTGACGGGGCGAGCAATTCGGGGAACGGTGGAAACAGGAAGCCCTGCTGCTACATTGGTGGACTTCTTCCCTTTCTGTGCGTGACTCTATTGTCTTATTTGATGAGTCCTGAGCTCGCATCATGGCATCAGTGCAATATCTCCCTTCCTGGTTCCCTGGTTCAGGATCAAACAAGAAGGCTCTTCAAGTGAGAAAACTTGTTCAAGATACTGTGGATAGACCTTATGATGAGTGTAAACGCGCAATTGTAAGGAATAAAATCAATCGTCATGTAGATGCTCAAACTTGACAGTCGCGTTGCAGACATCTGGAGAGGCAAGCGCGTCGTGGGTTGCATCGATGTTGGCCGAGCACACGAAAGACGGCGTAGTATCTGAAGTCGATGAAGACGACATTAAAGGCGTCGCGATGGCTTGCAACATTGGTGAGTTAAACTTTCAGCGCGAGATCCACGTTGACATTTCATGAAGCGGGCGCGGAAACCGTGCGGATCTTATCCAATAGGGCTGCTTAGATGCGAGTGCTCAAAGTGGCTTTTATAGACCGCAACAGTACTGCTGGCATTCTTGCTGGCAATTGTTATTCATCCTGAAGTTTTCGCCAAAGCACAGCGAGAGATGGACAAGGTTGTAGGCGAAGGACGGCTCCCCGACTACGACGATAGGGACTCACTACCCTACCTTGAATGTATCATAAAAGAACTCTACCGGTAAGACTCGTGCTTGATGCTATGTACTTCTTGCTATCTTACCTCTCGAGTCAGATGGAATCCTCCAGCTCCGCTTGGTGCGAGAACCTGCCGATCGTCGAGACTGGCCAGCTTCCATTGACGTGGTACTATCTGCACAGGCCTTCCTCACGCTACAACTGAAGAGGTGGAATATCGTGGCTACCGCATACCCACTGGAACGATGCTCTTCCAGAACATATGGTGCGAGATCTGCATTAATTCCTCATGTCATATTGGTGCTCAGCAACGTCTCTCCCTCTTCCCGATACCAGGGGAATGATGCAGGATGAAGAGTCGTACCCTCAGCCTGAAAGGTTCTTTCCCGAACGCTTCGAGAAGATGGACGAACACGAGGCTCGTATGAAAGATACTCGCAGAATCGTGTTTGGATTTGGCAGAAGGTCATTCTTAGGTCTCTTCCTTGGTTGCTGTGTTTAACCAGATCTTCTCCTTTACAACGCAGAGCTTGTCCTGGCAGGCACCTTGCAGACAGCAGTGTATGGCTTGCGGCGGCGATGATGATCGCCACGCTTGACATTGGCAAAGCGCGCGACGCGAGCGGGAAGCTAATAACTCCAGAGCCCACTTTCGTGCAGAATTTCGTCAGGTATGTGTGATCCGCCGTCGATAGAAATGGTTTAAGTCTTTTCCGAAGCCGTCCGGCCGAGTTTTTGTGCAGAATCCAACCGAGGGCGGAAACAACGCGCCAGCTCATCCACCAGATGCTAGCATAGAGTTCTTGGGCTTCAAGCTTCTGTGGAAGTAGGTGTTTGAACCGCGTGGAAGACGCGCGCCAACTCAACGGTGGCAGACAACGTATCTGAGGTTGCAGGCGGCAAGCGAGCGCGTAAGTACGTAATGTACAGCGAGCACAGTACGAAATAAAATTGGCCAGACAGACTACAAATGCCTAAATTATCTGCAGAATGCACCCGACGCAAGTGTTGAATAATATCATTGATATGTGACACATGATGGAGAAAGAGAGAGACGTCCATATTGAGCGATTGTGGCGGGCGTTCAATAGCCTCGTCTAGTAGGCGCCTCGCGGATCGGTGGCACTGCTCTTATGCCAAATTCCATCCACCATAGTCCATCCCTCTTTCCCATTTCTCCTCACCTTTTGGACTGTCTGCCATCTACAGCTTTCCTCTCCTTGTCTTCTTCGTCCATCTTCTCGATTTGCTTTCTTTGATTGTGCTTCGTTCCTGTGGCAGGCGCAGTTTCGCCATGGCCTCCTTCTTCGAGTCAATATGCATGTGCTGCTTCCGCAGCCGTTCGCGCAGTCCTGCAAGTGCTACATTGTGACTTGTTCGTGCTTCTTTACTCATGCTCGACGTCGCATGCTAGGATGGACAGCGACAGAGCGAGACGAACGAGCGCACCCACCTGATTCCGGAGACGATTGAGGAGTCGCCGTGAGTCGCGGCAATATCCGTTCGTGCGGCTGCCCATTGTGGGCCAGTACTGAGATTGTTTGTACATGATGAACAGGGTCAGCACGTATGTCGTCGACCAGCAACAGATGGACGCACGCCTCAGAACGATCGTGCGTGCGAAGGAAGGGTGTGTCTTCCCATAATACCTACACTGCCGCGACCCCGTTATCATTACTGACCCTTACTCATATTCCAGGAAGATGGTCAGCGTGAATGCTCCGTTACCATTCAACCTCGCCAACCACTCCGTTCTCGCCCTGTCCCAATCTGCCTCTCGATCTGCCTCCCTTCCGCCCTCCACCTCATGTCCTCATCGTTTCTCCTCAACGTCCCACTCGCCGCCTCCGCATCAGCGCCACTTCTCTCCATCGCGCTCCTCATCCTCGCTCCGCCTTCCCGACTCCTCGCTCGCCAGCCCGGAGCACGAGCATGCAGGCGGAAATGGCGAACACAAGCCTGCGTTCAATGCGCGCATCGTGCGTCCCCCGGGAACGAGCGCGTGGATGATGAGGGGCCGGAGCGTTATGAGGGGGAGGGTGGGTCGGTCCGAAAACAGTGCGGAGGTCTCCGGGCAGGAAGGTCAACCTGACGCCGGCGCGGGCCCTCACCATGACTCTGACTCTGAGTACAGGATAGAGCTAAAAGCAGATGAGTCGGACTCCGGTGCTCACACAGGCGAGGTTAGGGTCGTCGACCAGGATAGCGACCAGGTGCAAACCTTCAGGATATCTCTTGCAGACGTTGGGAAGATCTCCCAGAGCTGGGACGATTAGCGATTGCTATCGTACGTCCGGATACTCTCATACAATGGTCGACTGCCATAGCCGTGACGCACATATTTCCATGCGCGGCTCTTCCTCCTCCCGAGCTCCCGAACTGCACCGGTACCTCCACTCACGTTTCTCGTGACGCCTCCACTCACGGCCTCTCGTCGCTTAACGTTATCTCACCTCCACGACTCACGACCTACTCCGAGGACGCTTGACTGCACTCCAAAATGAGTCCGCATACCTACTCACGTTCCCTCGGCCGCTGCATGGACCTTCATACTTCATTGTGCACACAAGGACTCTTCGTACGGTACACACCTCAGATCGATACACATCTCTGTAGCCTAGTAGTACACAGCCCTCCGGCTGCCATTCGCGTGCCAGCGCGCGCAGTCTCACAGATTACCCACTCGCTACTTACTGAATTATACAATTTACCAATACCCCTATCGTGCGAGCTCAACCGTTCCGACGGAAGTCCACCGCGATCATGTACCCACATGAAGCTGCAAGTTAGTTACATAATAGACCGAAATCTGGGTAAAATGCACGCAAGCTCGTCAATTGATGATGAGGCAATATAATGAACATACATCAGCATCGACTCAAGGGATATCTCCCGCACCCTCCGTCTTTTTCTCGTTTCCGCTTGTCCCAACATGTTCGCTTCCATTTGCACCTTCTTCACAAGCCGCCCACACCGTTCTGCGCACCTGCTCTGCCGTCCCCAGCACCTCCGTACCCTCTCGTCCATCATTCTCCTTCGACGACTCACCGACCACCAGCCTCCACTCCTCCCAGGCCCCGACCACCCGCTCACACACATGCCCTAGAAGCACCCCCGCCGTGCGTGCGTCCTCTATGTACAACCGCACACGCCCAGCCGCTGCGCGCAGCTCGGTGCTGCACAGCGTAAGGAACGCAGAATGCGCCGCGGCGGCCGAGGTTGGGGACGCAGCCGCGGTAGAGGACAATGTAGAGACAGCAGATGGCGAGGACGAGTCTGATGGCTGTGTCTGCGAAGGATTAGGTGCAGTATGAGGAAAAGTGTCCGCGTTCGAGATGGACGATTGCGTGCGCTCGATCCATGCCCGAAGTGGCGCACTGACGGGATCTGAGCAAGCCGCGATGACCTCTTCACATGCCCGGCGTAACTCTCCATCGATGCCCTGTGTTCGCCTTGTCAGCATCAACGACGGTGATTTCACGCCGCCGAGTCCGACGCACCTGCTTGAAGTCGCCCGTCTCTTCCCCTGGACGCGGCATCCCAAGACTCGTGAGCAGCGCACTCGGTAGCGGAAATAGTGCGCTTGTCCGCCCGAGCACGGAAGCCAGTGCCTCTACATAGTAAAACAGGCCTCATTAGTAGCTCACTGAAAGAACAACGAATGACTTACCGGTAACTCCACCTAACTCGCCTCTCCCTGCTATCCCGTAATCCTGCCCTCCCAAGTCCAGGTCGAGCTTCTGTGCCATTTCCTTCAGAATGAGCAGATGCCGCACGAGGAAGAGTGCTCCGTCGAGAGCACCGCGTCGAGCCCGCAGCGCTGTCGTCGCACTCGTAAGGGACTGCAGGCATAGTGCGACTGCCTCCTGTGCAATGTCCGCAAAGATCGCTGGCTGTCGATTGTGGACATACGGAAGGCAGTATGTGAATTTAAGGTAGCAGGTGAGCTACGAGCATCGAGACGGTTGCACGCTGAACACGTACCTTGACGAAGTCATGTAATTGAGAAAGTACCCACACCGTCTTGCGCAACGTGGGATACCACGTATCCTGCCTATCGAAGGACTTGAGCTGGAACAACTCGCTCACGCTCGCCTTCTCCCTTATATCCATCCCGGACGCAGGCTTGCGCGCCTCTGTCAAAGCCGAAGTCAAATTCACCCAAAATCGCAAACACAAAGACCCGAGAATGACTCACCAAGTAGCATCTCCGGATAGGCTAGATCCTCGGGCTTTGGTACGTAGTACCGGACGTCGCTCTGGATCACCGCCTGCGCTTTGAAGAACAATCGTGTCTGGGCATCCTGAAGCACCATCTGCAGCAAGTGGCCAATCTGCAATGCCCGTAGGCCGCGTTTACCCGGCTTCTTGCGCGCAGTGCTCCACTCCGAAACGGGATTCAGCTCGAGGTTGAGCTCGTCTGCATCCTCACCGTCCTCCTCGTCAGAGTCCGAGACCGTAGGCACATCGAGAACCATGAGCGCCTGAAGAACCGTGCAGACCTCACAGAGGGCAGTGAGCCGCGGCTCGTGCAGGATGCGTGGACGGAGGTCGTCGTATAAATAGTCGCATAGATTTTCAAGGTAGTTGCTGCACAGGAACAGCGTCAGCAACAGACGACAGTGAGAAACAGCACGCAAGATACATACTAGAGCTGGTCCTCGCCCGAGTTGAAGAATGCACGAAAAAGGTTGAACTCATCTGTACATAGCTGCTTGAGATAGCTACAGCCTGCCCTTGTCTGTCAATCAAACATTGATCAGCTGCCTTGCTTTGATATAAAGCGCTTGAGAGGCCTTACTAGCTCAACGAGCTCGGTCCTAATGGGATCCAGGCCTTTAATCTCCTCCATAAGTCTGTTGACGAGGAGTCCTTTCCGCGCGGCAAAGTACGCAGCATGACACTCCGAGAGAAGCGAAGACAGCTCCTCCGGATGCGCAGTGGCTCGTCGCTCGAGCTCAGACAGGAGCGGAGCGAGCTGTGCAGACACGGTATAGAAGCGGGTGTAGAGCAAGTGCTCCTGTGCTGTCGCCGAGACATCCTAGAAGAATGCCGTGAGGATTGAGGACTTGAAGTATTGAATAAATGCGCCACCTTCTCTGACATACGTTTGGTAATGTCCACAGTAAGAGCTCTCAGAGAGCCGACAAAGAACATCTTGATGAGCGTCATTGCACGCGTCAGGCATTGCTGGAAGCGTAGCAGGTAAATCTCAGCTTCGCGGAAGTGCCGCTGTGAAAACTATCAGAGAACTGAAGGATTTAAAGGAGGAGTGATCGCGCACATGAGCCTTGAGGTAGTCGATGCAGACATCTACACGCTCAACCATGTAGATGAAGTCGGTTTGCAGAACGAGTGAATCTCCTGGAGAGTTGAGCATACGTGTAGCGTGTTCGAGCTCCTGGAAATACTCCAACCGCTCCCCAATAGCCTCTGTTATGCTCAGCAAGCGATCCTGACTCAGTCATATGAACATCCTGAACCCCCATCAATGAACACGTCCATACGCACTCGCTCCTCCAACAGCTGCTCACACGCTTCCTTCAAACTCTTGCCACCATCCTCCACAATGCGCCATTCGCGCAGCATGTCAACAATAGCAGCGTCCACCTCATCGATGCGATGCACAAGCGCGTCGCAAGTATCCAGATGTCCCGAGACGCTCTCGAGATGGGCTCGGAAATGTGCCTCTTGGCTGTGTGCGACCGAGCGGTCTATGAGTGCAAACCAGTCATAGAACTGCTGGGGGGTCTGAATGGGCTGTTTGGGATGGAGAGGATGGGTAGCGGCGGTACCGCTGCGAGCGACGTCGGATGTAGGTGTTGGGGTCGATGGTCTGGAGCCACCATTTGCAGCTAGGAGTTTAACCCGTAAAGTGGGCGTAGATGGGCGCGAGGAGGAACCTGGTTCATCTGGACTGAACTTGACTTGTGATCATTTGTGCGGGAGTTATTGTAGGAGATTGAACAGGACGCACCTTAGACGGCACAACAGCCTTCTCGCTGGCTGCCTTCACAAGGTTCACACTCCTCATCTCGAGCTCTCCAAGAGGCGCTCTTGCCTCCCATTCCTCCACACTGATGGTAGGCTTCGGATGAGGTGTGAGAGATGTTAGAGGATTGGCGCGTTTGATAGACGAGCCGGAAGCCATAGCACGAGCTGGAGTAACTTAGCCCCTTCAGACGAAACGAGAGTTAGTTCGCGCCGTCACAGGTTTTTCTGCTATCACCGATGTGCACGACGCCGCCAGGAGCACTCGAGAGTCAGACTCAAGTACTCAAGCAGTGTCGAAGCTATAGCAGCTACCGTGGTAAGTTTAGCGCCGAGAATGTTAGACGCTCACTTTCTAGGTAGACGCCATGGTCCTCAATGATCAGCTTCATCTCTGCCTCACCTCCCAAAAAATGAATATTGCTGCTCAGTGAACAATATGTCAACAAGTAGTATATCCTCGAATTTCCCACGGCGAGCTTTGTTTTTCGTGCCATGACAATGCTGTCGACATGGGACCGCCGCTCATATACTCGATGAGCTCCATCGTCTCATCAGCATGTTCTATTATTCATTAAGCCTGATCCTATTCGGAGACGATGCGATGCACACAGGATACAAGAAGATATTAGCAGAAGTATCTAGTGCTACATTGATAGCTGAAGCAGACCGCACGATCACGATGTGCACTTTGAGCTGGACGGCAAGTACTCACCTAGTCCCTTTAGATCTTGACTGATGCACATTGAATTGCAAGTTGTGGCATGCCCCAGGTCAGTGCCCACGGGTAAGCGTGTCCACCGAAGAACGCCGGCATGAGAACAGTCCTCTTGCTGTTCATCCGTTGTTGAAGATTTTTGATTCAGCCACTCACAGCGCTCTCTCCCCGTCGCCATGCGCAAGATGAGAGGAACACTAACTCACTCACACACTAGGTAGAATACGGTGCCGAAAAGCTCGGAGCGTAAGTCCTGAACAGTAGCGTTGAATAGCCTCATGTCTACACAGTCGGACTCAGTACGGCACGGTACGTACAACATCAATTTCTCAGCATTTTGATCCAATTTAGCTCGCAGTCATCTGCCCATAATTGCGTGCGATCAATTGCACGCAGTCAAACTGAGGGCGCTACAAGGCCCGAGTTGTGAGCGCCATACGGTCACCACCGTCGTCGAGCCGGCCCCTTTACAGATTGGATCGTGCCAAGCTGTGTGGCTCCTTGTTGACCTTGACGTTGTATCCACGGAGGATATTGCCACCACGATTATTCTTTGAATAGCCGATTCCGATCCCGCAGTCACTTTCTGGCTCTGGTCGATGATTGAGGAGCAGGCATCGCAGCATCATGCGTAGACGGATCCCATCGACAATACACAGCACCTGTAGCGCGCTGTCTGCGTCATCGCACGGTCCTGCTGCCCAATTCGCCACGGCCCTGCCTATGTCTCTCATCATGATTGACAATATGAAGTCATGAGGTCAATTTGACGGTCTTCCTTACGGCGTCTACGTAGCACTCATGAACAGTCGCAGTTGAAATTCTCTGGCTTCGATCGCCTGCTGCATGATGCTCTCTGACATTGTGATGCAAATATGGACGCTATGTTTCGTAGACTGCACTGGCAAAACAAGCGTCTGATGGGTGCACGAGGTTGCAATGTTTTGCGCATTCATCCATGGAAGGCAGGTTCTCGCGTAACATCGCATTGGCGGTTTTAAAATAATGTATTTGCTTTTAAGCGTTCAAACAGAAAACTCTAGCGACCGCTACCATCTTCTCCATCAGATGCAATGCATTCTTGGCCTTACGATCGCGTCGTTCCAGAACCCCAAAAGTCAATCGCGCCAACGCTCCATCTCAAAAACGGGCTGGTGTTGGCCCGGCGTCGACCTCGATTCGATCCGTTCTGCAATGGTGAAGAGGCTCAAGCGTCCTCGTGTTCCTGGCATGCATCAGAAGTGGCATATCCATCTAAGCGAGTTCCTGGCTCCAAAGCGCGGCAGACACGACTACAGCGAGTCATAAAATGGACGCTCTGAAAGGCATGTGAAATGAAACTAAAATGATGACATATGGGTGTGTGAACGGCGATCAGAGTTCAATATAAAGCTTGCGATTCACAAGCTGTCAGCCACCGCGATTATCAGCCAGAGAGAACTTTACAGAGAAGGCAACTGTTCTGTGCTTATCTTCTATGATACGCCGGAACCTAGGATAGTACTGATCAAGAGCGCTTCATCATCACCGCATTGCCTTGGCGTTCACCGGCGGCCAGATAGACCCTGCACGGGTGTATGCGTTGGCAATGCGAGGCGCTCCACGTCAACTGCACAGCGTAACCATTGCGGGTGAGACACGGCCGATCAGCAACAGAGACGCCATCGCTTCGGTTGATAGAACCCGTTGGAGCTCTAGTTTACGTGGGCGTACGTACTCGACTCATGAGCCGACCGGATCTTCTTCCTCGCAATCCTCGTGGAACAATGAAGGTGGTATCAGCTACCTCAAAACGTGTACGTTGTCAAGCGATCTCGGTCGGCAAGTTAGCGAATGGCGCTACACCAAACTTTGAGCACAGCAAGTCAGTGACAATCTTAGACCACACAGACGTAACGTACTGACAGATCAGACAGACCTCGAGGTCGGCAGAAGGCGGGCGAATCATCAGTGACAAAATCATGAAATCCGAGCACGATGTGGCCCACCTTTGGCCGCCAGAACAATGAGGAGACTGTCCAATGAATAGGATGTGCGATGCTCTATCGCTGAAGCCGCATCAGGGAGGAGGCGCAAGCGTACGATACATGGTGACCGTTCCAGACTAGGAGTACATCCCCGTGTTGCCTGCATGACCGGGCTTGATCGTACGAGACCGTGATTATGAATGCGGAAAGCGGAATGACGGACGCCATATTCCGGCACAACTGACAAACGCGTGTGGGTCAGAATCATTGGGGATCATGGCATTCGTAATGCAGAAAATTCAGACTTGTCCAGAGCGTGACCGCTAGCTCATGGTTAGGCCGCCGCCCAAGAGTACCTGTACGGTGAGGTCTAACAGAGGTCGCGCACATCAATGAGCAAGAAGGAATCGCATAGCAGTTGTACGGACTCGGCGGCCGGTTTCCTGTTCTCCTGTTCTCCTGTAGTGCCATTCATTCCGGTAGGGTACGTTCGGACGAGTTCGAGAGGCCGCTTCCGGCGTGGAACGGCATTTCCCTCCTGTATCGTCATTCTTTCCACGGTAATTGGCGTTTTGACTCTAGTCTTCGCACGCAGCATGACGCTAGTGCAGCTTCCTGAGTCTATCAAAACGGCCTGCGTGCAACGTTGTGACAGGAACCCCGCGATGAAATTGATACTACGGGTCCGATCTGCAATCAGCGTGTACAATGTGGAGGCGAAGCGATGATCGGTGGGGGTCGAAGGGGCATGATTAGTGCGGTTAAGGCAATATGTACCCACCGTTGCCCACACGAGTGAAGCTGGCATATTCTGTGAAGTATAACGTTATATCCCTTTGACTGCTTCTGGCGTATTTTCGCGTCACCTGAGAAATATACCGCACCTTGGTGTCGTCAACGCTTCTTTGAAATTGGCCTTCTTCGACTGTACTTCGCACAGTGACGGTCAACGAACCTCTTCTATACTATCTCCGGCGACGGTTGACCAGTGAGCCGGAATACTTCGCACGTCGCAGCTGTTAGCCGCACCTTCAAGGACTGTCATGAACAATGGAGCGTGTAAATGCATCAACAGCCTGGTGACGAAGTTCGGCGACTTCACCTAGCATAGTAATAGCCCCTAGGGTGCACGTGCGCCACTGGCAGTCTTACAAACGGCCTCGCTGTGTTGGCAGATGCATGAGATTCGAAGAACGCGCGACGTACACGCGTGCTGGCCAGTATCGTCATGCCGTCCAATACTATGGCATCATGATGATCAACGGGGACTAGAAAATGATATCGAAAACTCACTATGCTAGCAGCGACGTCACCTATGACACTATAGGGATTCGTAGGCGTGGCGAAGACAGCATGGCTACAATGCAAGATAGTCAAGGTCATATGAAGTGCCAGCCGTATCCCGTGTTGTGGCCACTATGGTAAGCCAGCAAAGCATAGCGTTGTCAGATATCGTGAGTTTACTCCTAACTACCAAGCCGACCAAGTGGAGAGACCGGTCCCGGTAAAGCCAGTCGGATGATAGTGTATGCGCGCGGCAGACGTAACTCTTACGTGTACGGGCCTCGTTTGAATCGTCATCTGCTGCTCGCCCATGGAGAATGGTGTGAGTAGCACGGCGTAATGCGAACGCAGAAGAGAGAACACCAGCCTATGATCACCCCTCCATCACCGGACGAGATCCGTGCAGCAAGAAGGTGAGGCATATCGCAGCGTGACTGCTTGTATAAGCCCATGCTGCCAGATACTGCACCCCACTGGCCTATGCGGCAACTTAGATATGATGACTTCGAAACCGAAAGCCGTAGCGTCCCGAACTCCGTTCCCGAGGATTACCCATTGACTCAGTATGGCATGTAAATAGACATAGAGTTCTGGACTTCTCAAACTCGAGGCTTGCTCGCGGATGGAAACGGAAGCGATCTGCGTGGTCCGTTATGGCTCGCACGGAGCGTTTGCGTGCATGATATCTCACGCGCATTCAGAATGCTTGTTGGCAGAACAGTTCAATGCGGGATGCGTACGGCGGCTCACCTAAAACTCTCTTCAGCAACGCGTCTGATCTTCTGCACACTCAAGGATACGGCAGCCGCAGATTGGAGTGCGTTCGGGGCATCGATAGTTCCTGTGCTTATCTCGCTCTATTTCCGATGCGAGACGCCCTGCATACGCACTCCCAGCCGATGGTCCGCACAACGAGTGAGCTCGTCCGAAAAGAATGCTGATAGCGTGTACGCCTCGATATCCGACCAACGGGTGGGGCTGATCTGTGGTATGTTTTAGACGCCTCTGATATTACATGTGGCGCCAAGTTTGTGGAATTGTACAGCGCTGGAACACGGCCTGATATGCGCACAGTAGAATCAATACACAGCAATGGCTTCTTCGTACCGGAGTGGAGCGCGCCCGCCTTCCAGTTGGTAGATGCCCAGCACGGAGACCTCGCCAGAGGCTCAGAAGCCACGAACGTTGCTGGACCTGCGGCCCATCGGCCTCAAGTGAACGGAGACTAGGACGATCAGAGGGTTCCTTCGCATCAATTCCTGACTGTCTAGTCCACCCGTTGCGATGTTCCGGTACGCCAGGCTCATCCGTTCTCGCCATAACAGCGTGGAAGTACCTCCAGTCTGACTGCAGGCTTACAGCAGATACTGCGCTTGACGGAATGCCGCAAGGAACAACCACCTGCAGTGGCCCCATGCTGGATGCATGAGCAAGCATTTCAGCAGGATACATGAACGTTCCCACCATGGATGCTGGACTTACCCACGATGTACAAAAGTTCGTGATCCGAGCAGTGATTGCGCTCAATCCGCCAATGTGGCGGGAAAAGCGAGGCCAACGGCGGATGAGGATTACAGGCTCGACGATCAGGGCCCGCAATGCAAGCAAAGCAACCCCCTTCGCTGCCGCCCCCCTTCTACTGAGCCCGGAAGTGAAGCAGCGGGACGTCTGGAAGGCCACGAGGGCTCGGATGCCGCCCCGCGGTCGGTGTTGTTTTGCCATTCCCAATGTAGTGCACGCTATGTCAGAACTGTGTTCAGGATCCCGCCCATTCAGAGCGCTCCCACCGTTCCGGACCGCAATGATACGAATAGCGCAAAGTTGGCTCGTCGAAGCAGGGGGATACCTCCTTGAATAATGATAGTCCCTCCCCCAAATCATTCGAAGAAGACGCGGGCCACGGATCCCGGCCGTGTGCATGGCACCCGCCTGCGAAGTGCCGGCTCTAAAACAAAGCAACTTGAAGATATTGGTGATTGACATAGATTCGATAAGGAGCTGCGATAGCACGAGGCACATTATGCCGTCAAAGCGGATTGGGACATGCCTTTTTGTCTCCGTTGCTGCAGCAGACCTTCGGGGCGGCTGGCGCGATCTCCGAGAATTGTTATATTAGGCAATGCGGGACCGGAGGAATGGAGCATGCAACGAATAGACTCAGCCGCTATGGAAGGAGGGACACCGTGCCGGTGGACCAGTGGGACACTAAAGCCAGAAGACGCGGATCTATCCAGACATTCCATTCACGGTGTTGCAGTAGCACATGATAATGTCTAAATGCAAAAACCTCAGAGAGCACAGAGCGCAGCACCACGGAAGAAAGAAAACTGGCAGGCAGACGTCGTAGAGAATTGCAAAAACGGACAAATTTCCAAGGGGCGCTCCATGGTGATCTACAAATCGCCGTGGCAGTACACAGATGAGTGGCGGACACCGGAACATACCAAGCAAGCGAGTTGAAACTCCTGCTGCCACCAGGCGCATCAATCCAACCACGTGCATATCTGGATATCGTGTTGACATGGTTTCGTTTTGAAAGTTCCTGAAAGTCTAGGCCAAAGCTTTACGGCCGCTCAGGAGGAGCGGCACAGTATCAGCATGGATGATCAGATTTGCAGCAAGTTGCTCCAAGGCGTCCACTAGGTCGGGGAGAAAAGCCGAGCACAGCCTCGACATATGTCTGGATGCAAACAGCAGGATCGAGGGCACTGGAGGAAACGCCGAACAGACCGGCTCTGCAAATAGCGTATGTGAGAGTCTCCGGAGCAGCGGACAACATTGGTCTTCTAGCGGCCCACAAGATATCCTTCGGCACGGCCCGCAAGACGAGAGAAACCGGAAATGGAGGGGTTCGTATGTGTCTCCTGGAGAAGCGCGAGATGAGACGTTGAGCTAGTTTTGTGAACCTCGTGGCGTCATTTGCCAGCAGAACATTGAAGCGAAGGGTCGTGTCGGCGATTTGGCTTGGTGGAGCATCGAAGACTCATGGACATGAGATGAACTGGGAGCTACGACCCGAAATTGGTGTGCATCGATGCGTATGTCGCGGAATGCTGGCGAGTGATCCGGACAAGCCGTGTACGGCAAAGTGATTGCTTTATGCACCTTGTAACGATCGTCACAACGGGCTGTTTACGGAGAGGCTGGCTGCGGAGGGTCAGCTTGAGAACGAGTGCATGCTCACCGGATGCCGCATGGACACGCGCAGGTACGTCGCAATCTTCTCAGGAAGATACACAATATTACGTTGCTGCATCGACAGGCACAATTTCTGAAAGAGGCAGATGTATATTCCGTGGTCACTGTTGATCAGAACTCGATTGTCAGCTGGAGAAAAAAGAGGTGAAGTCCAATTGAGCGGAGTCGCCAAGTCTATTCGAGCGCAGGAACCTCGGCATCCGCGATAGCATATAATTTTGACAGATAACGGGTTTTCGCTGACTAAGAAACCATCAAAGTGTCCCAGGATTTGCAGCTCTTTGTGCCTGCTGTCGAAAAAGCTCGCGTAGGTCTGTCGCCGTTTCACCGTGTCCCCAGCGTGGACGTCCATTTCGAGGAATTCTGATGTTCGTCTGCACACAACAAGGCTGGACCGTGCAGGAACAATTAGGCCATAACAAGGATATCTAGCTATAAACTGACGTGATGATCATACACTTTCGAGTTCGCCCGGAGTTTGGGTGGTTAACCAGGTAAGTTCCGAAGACACTGGGAAAGTCCCGCGAAGGGTCTTCATATCCATCCCGATTCAGGAGTCCACAGCTGTTCCTTCTTCCCATTTGTCACACTTCGGAAAATTTCCAGACCCTCGGCTTCTAGCAGATCCATCTGCGCGTCTCCCAACTCTTTAGCCGTTGGTCCCATGAGACGCGGTTCCTCGCTTCTCGCGTGGCGTTCATATCTATACACTGCCTTCAGCTGCCTCTTCAAGTCCCCTTTGTTCTGACACCAGCGCATCCTGCAGCCCGCCCCTCCTCATCTGCAGACATGGTCGCCAGCACCAACGGCGAGGTCTATGTCCCTTTCACACGCGTTCCCATTGTCGAGGAAGGCTTCCAGTCTAGTGAAGATGGCTCGGAGCTGCATTCACCCGTCTTTGATGGTTCATACACCCCAGAAGGTGTGTACGCGTCTTTCTTGCCGATAGTGTCTTGGTCTCATCCGTATCCCCGCGAAGAATTTCCGTATCAACTGAGTCGTACTCTGAGTACACTCGCATATGCCCCGGACGCTCAACTGTACATGGCAAACTGGGAGAGGCACTACGGGCCACCGGATACAGGCATGCAGGTCCACGACTCCCACATGTTGCCGGTATTCCAGCTGTCGACACTCGCGATCGATCACGAATTGCCGCATCAGTTCAACCACGAGCTCTCGCTTCATGAGAATCCAATGGTCGACTTTGACCCATCTGCCGGCCGCTTCCAACCCAACGCGTTGACGCCTACGGCGGACTACGCATTCGGTTTGCCGCAGAGCAGGCTCCCAGAGCCGCAGTACCGCGTTTCTCACGACATGCTCAACGATTCACCCACATCCTACTCCTCGCGTCACGACGTCTCCACTGCCTCTGTTTCATCGGCCGAGGAGGCTGCACAGATATCTCTTGCGTCTACTGTTGCAAAGTCCCAAGGGACGAACAGCGGCAGTACGAGCCCGTCCAGTAGCCGACCACCCCGAAGGGAAGCGTCAACGGTCGTGATTGCGTGCAGACAATGGTGCATTCGATTTGTAATTCCATCGATGGTGGGTGTTGACCGTTTTGTGCATAGCCGTGCGCGCAAAATCCGCTGTGACTCCACGCGGCCTGTATGCCATAATTGTACTCGACGCAACAATGAATGTGAGTACGATGCCGTCCCCAAACGACGAGGCCCCGATAAGCGCCCTGGTACGCGGCAACGTTCGTGCAAGAAGCGGCCGACAGACGCGGCAATGGTGCCCACAAAGAAGAAGCGAAAGTCTACCGATGAGTCCGTAGACTCGTTTGCAGCCAGGTTGAAGGAGAACGGAGATGACGTGAAGCCGCATTTGTCGTTGAGCGTTGTGCATGACTCTCATCCGCACATGTCTCACTCGTCGTCTCCTTTGGACGCTTCTATCCAGCCACGCAGCGTTGGGCCTGATCTTGGCTATGCTAGAGTGAGTTGGTAGATTACACCTATCGCGCAGCGACAAATGTCGATAGATATTTATTCAGTACTGATAGGGTGAATACTCCTCATCGTCGCGCCGGCTTCCCCTCTCTCTTGATTTCTCGGGCCTGGATTCTGTCTCGAAACCGTATCTCCACCGTCAATATCAGGATGACCAGAGCAAGGCTACTTTCATTCAAATGTCTCCGTCGGTTGAATATAGTCGAAGATCTTGGTGGGATCACTTGTTGCGTGAGCGATCGTAAGCACAGTGTTCTCTCGCCGTGCTCAAGAGGACGTCTCAACATTATTTGCAGCTTGGGAGACATCATGGACGATCTGAATATCCTGTGAGTTCGTGCATGTGGTGTGTATTCTGCGAAATGATGACCTGTCATTGCTCTAGCCTGACTTCCAGCAGTTACTGGCTCTCATTCATTCATATACCCACTTTCTTCCGAGATCTACAAAATCCTGAGCAGCGCTTGCGAATGCAACCGGCCTTTATAATGTCTGCATTGGCACTTTCTACACTCATCAAGTCTAGCGACCTGGAGCTTGGCGCTGAGGGCCGTTCTCGCGCTATACATTATCGAGACAATGCTCAGGCTTTGCTTGAGGTCGCCTGCAGTTCTCAACTGGTTGACTATACCCTCGCGGAAGCTGCTCTAGTACGTCATCGCTCTTCCTTTTGCTCGATGATCTCATGCTAACTCACGAGGTGCGACACGCTGCGAACAATAGATCTTGGCATTGTTCGAATCTTCCTGCCACCCTCAGTATTCTCCCGAGAGAGCCGTGTGCTCCCTGCAATTCCTCGATCGCATCATTCAGGTGTTATCGCTCTGCACCCTCGACGACCACGACCCCGACACATCCATCTTCTCTCCTCGTGCCGTGCCTGCGGTCTTTATTCCGGAATCTTACCGGCCGCCGAAGAGATGCTGTTGCGTCGTGTCTGCTCAGAGCGTCGGTTCGAATCCTATGGACGGCTATCACTCCTACTCGTCTGTCAACCCGCCTTGGAACCCCAATTGGTCCGATGCGGAGATACGCAAGGAGGAATGTCGCCGGTTGTGCTGGGTCGCCCTCGCTCTGGTCGCAAGCTACACCTTCCAATGTTCTGCATTCCAGCGGGAACCGATGCAATTTGCGCTGTCAGAACCGGCTAACGTGCGTGGCCTCATTATGCCGCCGTGAGAAGGATCGCTGATCGCATCATGCATATGCAGTATACGCTTTTGTTCCCTGGAGAAGCGTACGAGCGCGCTCTCGGACATGATCAGCTCTATGGCCAATCTCCTAAGGATTCCCTGTGGGCTGTATACTGTCGGAGTCTACTCCTATGGTGCAGCAGCATACGTCCTATCGATGACAGATGGTCGATGGAGCAGAGGTCGCGGTCCGCCCTCGAGGTGCTCGCGGAGACGCGGACCGTCCAAGCCGCGCTGGATATGCACCAATGCAATGTGGACGGCTCGCTCATCAATGTGTGCAAGGAGTACCTGTACAAGTGTGTCCAATCTCTATTGTTGCCTGCCAACAATCACTTATCGTCAATTTCTTTTCAGTACCAGGCTGACGGTCTCCTATGAGCTTCGTCGGTGCGTTATTCACCTCGGTAGCCACCTTCGCGATGGGCTAAATGTTTTCCAGAATCCAGGATATCGATAGCGCAGGGATGTTTGACCGCCGACAGGCGGAAGAGTGGCGTGAGTATCTATTGTGCTTCTTGATCAAGGAACGTCTGTTCTCATGACCACTACTGCGTGACAGTGTATTATCAAGAGCAAATGGCAAAGAGTCTCAAAGCAGCCGTGTTGCAGCTGGGCGAGACTCCCGGATATCTTCTATCGAGGCGCCCTTTCCAGATCAACTGGATCTCCAGTCAGGTCATGATATGCCTGGGCTTGTGGAAGTATGATCGCTCGTTGACACACGCGCTGGAGCTGGCCAAGACGTTCCTGATCCCATTGGACGTGCTCAACGCCCTGTGGCCGTCGGCAGGTATGTTACCCTCTGTCTGCTGTTAACACGGATAGCCCTGACCGTTCAACGTTGTTGCAGAGCAACGCATGCGACGCGATGAACTTCGTCGACGGATCGAGGATGCGTGCATCTCCGTCCGTCTCCCGCCGCCGCTGCCCGCTCAGCTCACTCTTCCTCCGATCTTGAGAGCATGACTGGATCATGCAACGGGGTCTCTCTGGTCGTGGCAGTCTAGGTCTTATTAACGCGCGACATATGTTCCGCATTCGCCTATACATACACGCATTATTTCTGTTCCCGTGCTCTGATATGCTTTCTGCGCATGAAACTGTCGCTTATTAGTGTGAAATATCTCGTTTGTAGCTCATACGTTGTACTGGCACGTTACGGTTGCTCTTCATAGCCCATATAATTACGGCTTTAGCTGTTATCTAAATACGTGTCCATGTTATTTACTGATCACGCCGTTCGTTACGTCGATACATGTTACTGTCCTCGCTCCTGAGCTCTTTACTGTGCCGTGCATCCTCTTCGCCGAGCATGTTGCGTAGTATGCGGGGACGGTTGTAACAACACCGCCTCCTGAATAGATGATACGATCGCGATACAGGAATGATAGAGCAGTGAAGGGGTGGATGAACGTCTGAAGATAGTGGTTTCTGGTCTGCCCCACAGCCCTATAGCGTCGTAGTTCTTCCACCACGCCGCGCTCCACAAACAGACGTTCTCCTGGTATCTCGGTGTTCCATGATCATTAGTAAACAGACGCCAGTTTATCCGTCGTGGGCTCCCCTTACTTGCCGTGCTACCTCCGCAGCGAACAATCAACAGGGGCAACGGGAGAACGATATCCGCTGCATCGCATCGATCTGGAATTGATCCCGCCCCGCTCGAGAGGAGACAAGGCGCAGCAAAAAGCTTCCGCGAACATGTGTGTGCCGTCGCACGATCGTACCCCATCGAGTGATCCAGATCACCTCGCGGCCGCGGCGACCTATGTCTTCCTTTCTGGCTGCATCCGTGCGATCGTCGATCACGCCGACGTGGAAGGAGCGAGCTCGTGTTTGGCGGAGTACTCAAGCTCGGGGGGACGGGTTGCGCTGGGCAGGGGAGCGCGTCCCGCGCGGGAGGCTTCTAGTCCGGCGATGTCTGCGTGAAGTTATTTTCGGGCGATACGGAAGGCGAGGATCCGGGGTGCTGGACCAGATCTGGACGCACCAGGTGATAACGTCGCGGAAATGGAATGACTCCAAGGACAGATCCGCCGCACCCCAAAGAACTCGAATTTGGCCAGGAAGCGCATGTACGCGTGTTCGCAACTTCGTCAATTCGAGCAGCAGAGAAGCGGCGGCCTCCTGTCGCATTGAAGCAGACCGCTCTGCAGAGATATTTCGGGAGAGGAAGCGGCGGAGGACTGGCTCTTCGTGGCAGAAGCGAGGAAGATGGGGTGGGTACTCTTAGTAACTGAGAATTGAGCACTGGTTGCCCTCGTCTAGGATCATTTGTTTTGAAGAGGCCGAAAGAAGTCGCGATCCCGGACTGGTCCTTGAGGTCTGCGACGTCCGGGCGTGCACCCTCGCACGGAACTCGGGTGCAGAGCGCTGCGGAAGGTGAGCCAAAGCAGAGGGATGCAGAGCGCGCCGGAGAAGTGGTGGGAAGAAGCCCTGTACACACGCTGGCTGAGCGAGTATAGACTGCCGAGGCTGAGCGCTGATTTATCATCGTCCTTAGAATGGGTTTCCGAGATCAGCCGCTAGCTTGTGCCGTTTCGCTGACTGATGGCGTTCTTGTCGCAGTGCGGTGTTCGACTGCGTTGCCCTGGTACACGCTGCCGTCTTCCCGGACAGGAATACAACATGTTGCAGAATGCGTATGTGGCTTGTTCAGCACGCGGCCTTCTAGTGCAAAGATACAATTACAATCATGGATCAGTCACATCAAATGTATAGGATCACCCTGGACATCCCAGCCGCTGTAGCCACGCTGGCTAGTTGCGATTGGACGGCCACCTGGATATCCATCGCTCTTGTCGCATCAGCACTTCATGGGCGATGAACTTTGGCGGAAAACTTCCATCCCTACGCGGTTCTAGAAGAAAGCAGTGCCCCGCCTGCCGGTGATAGCTGACGTGTCAATGCAGCATCAGCACACACATGCACTCGCTCCTTCCCTGCATTCTCAGGCTGTCGACTCGGTACCAGCGACTAGATAGGATTGTAGCAAGCTGTCCGCAATGACTAGGATCTCCAGGAATCATTCAGCATACGCACAGTTCCGCATTAATTTGCGAGGTAGGATCTAGGAAGATTTTTGCAGATCAGGTTCAGCGCAGGGATGTGGCCGGGCGCTTCTCAGCCATCAAAGTGCCGGCGGCCGCCGGTGATGCTCCGATCGCCTCGCCGACGCCCCTGGTCCAAGGCACAGAAGCCCGCCACAGCCGCCGGTTGCTAGCCCGAAATAGCTGCCCGCCATGCCCTTTTACGTGCGATCGCCGCCTCCGCCGTGATGCCGAACAGAGGCGCCCGCGCGTACCTCGGGCGCGATGTTCTGCTCGCGCGCGGATTCGGCATCTTCGATGCTGCATCTTAGATGTGCGCTGTACATTATTGTGGCAATTCAAGTTCGGAAGGCCTTTTCTATTATCCGTGGCGATGGGGATCTGCTGTGGGCGCATTGGCTGCGAACACAATTAGTGCCGTGACCGCCGCGCTATGCACCTCGGGGCAAGCCAGAAGCACCGTTGGCGAAGCAGGGCTGCACGCCTTATGTGCTTCCTGTCGGACATCGGAGGGACACTACAGGTCATGACCGTTACATTTTTCGCGGTAGCTAGGGATAATGACGCATTCGATATTGAGGGTACGAAACATTACGAGGATCGGGCGGGGCAACAACAATTAGGAAAACTACGGTAAAGTAAGGCTTTTGCTGAGTACTATATATGTACGTATGTACAGCTATTACGTTACATTTTTGACAGAGCGGGGAGAGTGTGCCGGCTGTCTGGGACTAATACTAGGGCTACTGCAGCTCATACACGGACAACCTCGATCGGGCGACAGTACAGTGCATGGATGTGGAATAATGGGTGCGATGAATGTGCGCGTGCAAGCGGAACTTGATCGAATAGCGGGGAGACAGCGATTATGCGTATTAGGTCTAGAAAGCGGGGAATATAATGTTAGAAAAAGTAAGGCGGCTTTGCGCCATCCGAGTAGTAATTTATCAGTGCTAGTGCTAGTGGCGGTGTGGGGCCCGGGTGGGCTATCCGAGGAAACGTGGCGTTGTTAGAGGTTATACTTGGCGATGTGCCGCATGATCAATAGCGAGGCGAGTAGTTCTGTGGAGAGAAAAGCCATTCAGCGTATTGCAACGGTGACTATATGCGGCGTTGTTAGAGACCTACCAGCGACGAGATGTGGATATTGCTCCTCGACGGTGAGCATGCAGCCGGAGGAGCTTGGGTATTGGGGTTCGCCAGCCGGCTTGAGGCTGTACGATGCGACATGGTAGCCGTTCGTATTCGTGCACTGTAGAATTCATTCAGCGCCGCTTCGTGACGGAATAAGGTGGTGTGGCGTACAGTCCACTCTGCATCATCGCCCGGCTTGTGAGTCCATCTGTACTCCTGCCCGTCAGATGCAATAAATTTGCGAGTCTTGGCACTGTCACTATATAAGCAATATAGTCTGGCCACAGAGGGGGCGGACACACCTGCCAAATGACCCAACCTTGGACAAGTATACGGACATGCTAACGTTGTCCTTGTCACCAATTTTGACGGTGCCGAGCGCGTTGTTCGCGCCAAAGTCGAGACACGCGACGGGCGCGTTATATCCGTTTCCAGAGGCAGACAGATCGTACACCATGTATGCGGTGTGTGAAGCGTCGTGGAGCGTGCAGCGGAAGGCGAGGCGGGTGCGGTTATACAGGTCGTTAAACTCGGAGCCTGTGAGCTCGCCTGTGAGGTCCTCGAGGAAATACGGCATGCCGAACGTCGTCATGGTGGGTGATGAACTAGTTGGGGATTCGAGATACTAAAACGAACGAGTGGCGATCCCGAGATGGGCGGGGTGAAGTGGCAAAGGAAAGGGGAAAGCGAAGGAGCGATTTATGTAACGGAGTACCAGAGCCTCCGGAGGAAGTAGGATATATCAAGTTTGTGCGAGAAGAGAGAGGGACAAGTGGCGGTGGAAGCGAGAGCAAGCGACTGACGGACTTGAATAAAATAGACAGAGATCGCCCGCCGGAGAGGAAAGGCACGGGCGCCTGTTCTGCATAGCCGAATCCGGCTCCTTTGCCTGCGCCTCGGCGCTTGCCGGGGGCGCGTCGAATCCCGGCAAGGCGTCTATCACCGCCTCCCGCTCGGAGTCGTGTTGCCTTTGCTCCCGCAGAACGTTTGTTCCAGCTGCGAGACCGCTCCCAGGCTCATCTTCGCCGTTCCTAACGCTCTGGACGACCAAATCACTCTTGATTTTTGCCAGATTTTCATGTCCTGTGTGGTGTGGTGTACGTACACGCACCACCGCCCCGACCCTGCGCGCCGGCGAGATGCTGCCTCGCAACCACCGATGAGCCTGAAATGTGCGTGCGTGGCGGCGCCACTTGGCATTGCGACACAGGAGCCTTGAAACGTCTCGATAACGTCACGACGTCACTCATGAGCAACGTGAGGGAGCAGTGGTCTCCGCTGTCGGACGTGTGCGCGATGGGCTGCGTCGCAAATCATGCCTTTTCGGTACAGCGGCGGCAGCGGTCTCGGGCTCGCGTACGCCTGCTGCGTCGACATGTCGGATTGGCAACTCGCTTCCGGACACGTATCGGGCGGCGGGTTGCTCCCCCGGTCGTCGGTGAGCGGTGGCTGGGCTCGACGCCAAATTTACTGCCATAGTGACTGACTCCGCATCGCCGCTAGCCTCGATATGAGATATGACTGACGTATGTTTCACGTCCGCTCGTGCATGCTTGTGCGCGGTCGCATCTCATCGTAATGCTGTAGAAGCGTGTGTTTCACGCCGCGCGCAGCTGCGACGCCCGGATTGTCAGAACCCGACGTCGGGGTCGCTTTCTCAGTGACATGGCGCAGCAAACTAAGGAAGGTTTCGTGCGTGGAGACCGTCTCATTTTCGGGGCTGTCAGTATAGTCACCCGTTAGGCTGGCCAAGGAGGCTCCAATGGAGCTGCTGACGATTATCCACCGCCAGAAGGGGCCCTCACCAAACTCGTCGTGGTCCTCATCTCAAACGCGAACTTAATGCAGTCAACTCGTACGTAACATTATCAGTCTTCGCCCTTTACGTCATATTTCGGTATGCTCGCGGCGTCCAGAAGCTGCGTGATGTAATCCCGTTTGCGTACACGCGATGTGTACCCAGTGGCCATCGTGTTGGACGAACCCTGGCCGGCAACTTCGCGAGACGCACAAACATGTGCGAATCACCGGAGCTGTTCAGCTTCGCATGCGTCGCATCCGGCCCTCATCGATGAGCACACATTTTCATCTCAGGAAGCTGTATCGCGCTCGATGTGGTCACTCTGGTTTGACCGCAACAGGACTCCTCCGAGGCATATCTCACGTCGCCTACGAAGACCGGCGTAAGGCGTCTGATATCACTATGATGCCATCCCTCAATTCAGTGAAGTGAAGAACCACGGATCATCAGCAATATCGAGAAGCGAAATCATGCCAGCGATGTTGATGCTGAACGACCAGTGGAGCCTCTTTTCAAAGTCATACCGTGACAGAGCGACGAGCTCAACGGGCTCAACGGACACGATATTCGCGGGAGGCGGTGCTCAAAGAGGATCACAGAGCGCAGGTTGCGCAGAGACGCACAGAGAACCGCCGGAAGTCCGCATCTCTGAGCACATGGATCATTAGAAACCAGAGAACCAAGGCCTGAGCTTGATGTTCACACCGCCTCCGGAGCAAAGCCTTGCCCCGGAGCTACAATGTGGTCGGGTGGACTACGAGAGGGTGCACAGTCAACCGAGAGCAGAACATTCTGATGACCGGCGTTCAGGATTCACATCTGCGGTGCATAGCAGCGTTGCATTGATGAATCAGTAATCCTAGGAACGATGGAATACATGTAACTCCGCGTATAAGCGAGCAATCGAGCAAGATCCGAGGAGCGATGGCTTCCATCCATCCGTCCGAGCGTCTATCATAAAGGATTGACTGAGGAGGTGAATTGGGTCGCGTATTTGAGCCATGCTGTGCCTTATGGAATTCTGTGAAGATGAAGCGGTGCCGGCTAGGGATGCATAGGTGGGTAAATACACCGCTGCAGTGGACACTGTATTGCAGCAGGTGGACGAGAGCGCACTCGCATCAGAACAGTATACTAAGAACATAGACAGTCAGGCGGGAAGATGGGGCTGGTGGCGACGATATGGTACGAATACACCAAGAGGGGAAGTGAAAAGGCTAGGAAGTGAAGAAGCTATGATCGCGTACCTGTCCAAGGGAGACTATCTCGAGTGGGCGTAGCCTTACAACGCAGTCACGCCAGTCAATCTCGCCCCCAACGAGCCGAAGGCCGCTCACGCCGTGGATTCTCCTCCCATCTCCGCCGGTCGCGATCCCTCTCCCGCTCCCGTTCATGCTCATTGTAGTCTCCGGACGGTCTCCGCACGGGCGGAGTCCTCGACCGGCTCCGTGAGCGTGCATATCGACTGTGGGGTCGCCCGTCGTCTCGAGCGTCTCTGTATCTGTCTCTTCTCTGTGGAGAGCGCGAGCGCGAGCGGTGCAGGTGCCTGCTACGCTGGTCGCCTTCTTTATCATCGTAGTCCAGGGTGCGTGCCCGCTCAACGCGTCGTTTCTCCTTCCGGGCGCGCTTCTCCTCTTTCTCTCGCCTGCGTTCCTCTTTCCGCCGTCGCTCCTCTTCTTTGCTGATGTCGTGTGAGGGAGAGACGGCATCCGGCCTGGGGGCAACACCAATTGCATTGGCGCCTGTGCCGGGTCCGCTGGCGACGTTCGAAGTGCCTGGTTTCGCACCCGTCGCGAATCCTCTAGATGAAAAACAGAATTAGTAACGCATGCGGTTCGATTTTACGAGTACTGCTACTCACAGGGCTGCAGCTAGCGCCTCTGCCTCTGCCTCCTTTACCCTTCGAATCTCTTCCTCTCTTTCTGCATCTGTCTGCTGGAGCTCCCGATTATACCAGTGGATGTCCTTGTTTTTTTGCCACCGTCCCGTAGGTGCATTAATGCTGTGTCCTAGGTAGTTCTAATAACGTATGCATCGCTGTCATGAGTAATTTACGAAACACAATACTCTTGGAACAGCCTCAGCACGCACCTCTCTATCTTTGTCTGCCGAGACGTCAGACCACTTGAATTCCGCCTGGCCTCCGCGTGTGCCTCCTCGCACGGGCTCGAACATGGTGGAAAAGGTGTGGTTGGTGTTAGTTTGATGGTCAAGCGATGTCTGTCGACAGCCACATTAATGGAGATTCGGACTCCGATCGTGGAATGCCGAGCAACCGACTGTCGAGCGCACAGCTCTGCGTATGTAGACATCCATATGTTGTCGAAAGGATGGGCCTTCAAGCTTCACCACCGGATCTATTTCTTGAATCCTCGATTTCTGGAGCTTAAACCACATCCACAAGCTTAGTACTCCTATTCGCTTTACAAGCACTGATACTGTCTGTGGCTGTGTACCATGGCACTGCTAGACACGTTTTACATGCATATATATATACCGGCGGGAACTGCTTATTCCTCACCACCGTAGTACCCCCTCGATAGGGCTCTCTCCTAACAATGACCTTGCTTTATCCACAGAGAATGCGCTTTCCCTGGTTATCGTCTGTCGTAAGATCGTCTAGGAACGTGGTGTGCAGGGACGATGAGTGAGTTACATATTACTTGACCGGCCAGCTACCGGTGTTAACCTATGCGTCACACAGTGCTGCAGTGCCTCGTGTGTTTGCCTTGGTGATCGGGATTAATGCCTATCTGTCCAACTCCCTCCAAGGTTGCGTCACCGATGCAAAAGAAATGGAAAGATTTTTGAAAGAGAAGCTGCACGTACCCGACTCGCGCTTGATAACGCTCTTTGACAAGCAAGCCACTGGCGAAGCTATTCCCAGCACTTTCAGGAAGCATTTCATCGAGAACGAGAACATCCGCAAAGGAGATGTTATGATATTCTATTTCGCAGGACATGGGACCCAGGAATATGCCCCGGAGGAATGGCACATTGATGGCGAGATAGTGGAGTGCATCTGTCCTCAAGATTGCGATTTCGACCTGCAACATGGCATCCCTAGCGTAATATTGAATGGTCTCATGCGGGAGTTGGCGGATCGAAAGGGTGACAACATCGTACGTCTGCACAATCTTGAACCTGCGCATGCTACTGACGGAAGACTTTTCCAGACCGCGATCTTCGACTGCTGCCATTCGGGCGCGATGACACGCGACCTACGCGATCACGACCTACGCAAAGCGCGCTACATGCCTCCGCCGAAGGGCACCCGCCCCACGCTTCCTGCCTCCCTCCATGGCGAGACGATGGAGTATTGGCCGCGCCTCCAGTCCGCTGGACGTGCGGCGCAGACGGCCATCCCTCCGGGGTTCTACTACGACACGCTGCAATCGCACGTCCTCTTGAGCGCCTGCCGGCGGGACGAGCAAGCGCAAGAGGTGACCACGCCGCGAGGCACCTCCCGGGGTTGGTTCACTGTCAATTTGCTTGCGAAGCTGAATAAGATCGATAGCGGGAAGGACGGCATCACGTACTCGTACTTACTGGAAGAATCCTTCCCGGCCGTGGACTGGCAACACCCGCAGTGTCTTGGAAAGAATCGAAATAGGATGCTGTGGAGCACAGCGAGCGGCGAGGTTGACGGATTCAGAGTGAGTGGGAAGGGGAATACTCTGGTGGTCCACGCGGGGAGGGTTCATGGCGTCAGTTTGCGCACGAAGTTCAGCGTGCGCCAACATGGGCAGGCCAACAAATCGCTCGGCACGTTGGTCGTGAGGAGTCTAGACGATCTGCGGTGCGAATGCCAGTTCGACGGCAAAGGTCCGGGGCTAACGGCCAGCAACGGCGCGCGGGCGGTCGTGGTGGAATGGAACAGCGAGGACAAACTGCACGTGTTCGTGCCTCCAGATGTCGCCGAAGTTGGCTCACTAATCGGCTCGTTGCCTCCCGGGGCCTTCATCGTCGCCGCGAATATGCAAACGCAGGCGGATGTCGCTGTGCGCCGGAGTCCAAGCGGGGAAACGTTGCTGGAAAGGCTGGATCCTCTGATGCGGCGCTACTGCCCGCTGTTGCCTGGCGATCTGAATATACTGGATATGCGGAAGGCCTTGGAGACGATATATCACTTCAACTTCCACTTGTACAGGCAATCGAACCGGTCTGGGCCAGATATCCCGGACGTCTCTGTGGAGCTATACAAACTGCGTAAAGAGGAGAAGGGAAAGGGGATCCAGATGTTTGTGCCAGAAGGCGACACGAATCTTTTTTGTCACGAAGTCGATGTGACCGCGCACAGCCCATCGGAAAAGCCGGCATTGAAGGAGGCTGTTATCACCGACTTTGAGCCCTTCTATGGCCTCAACCTCGTCAATCGCTCCGATCGCAACTTTTTCCCGTACCTGTTCTATTTCGACCCGAATGATTACTGCATACAAGTGCGTCTATCCTTCTCTGTTCAAGCACGCTATCCATACTAATGGACGTGCAGTGCTGGTACCACCCCGAGTCGCCTACCATGTCGGCCCCCCTGGAACAAAATAACAGCCTGAAAGTCGGGCACGGCGCGCGCGAGGCCGGCTTGCAACGGTCCATCAAACTATCTTTACCTCCCAACGTATCGTCGGACACGGGTTTTGTGAAGCTGTTTGTGACAACGGAGTATGTAGACATGCATTGTGTCGAGCAGCTGGTGGCGATTGGGAGCCCGCGCGCCACCAAGCCTCCGGAACAGTGTCGGCAGGCGGACGTGTGGGGCGTGTGGACGTATGTGCTCACCTGTTCCGCACCTGGGTCGTGATCATGGGTTTTATTGGAGTTTTCTGGTGGGATTACTAACGACTATTCATTCGAAGAACTGCGCAACCATTGTTTTTCCTGATGTGGCTTCGCCATCGGCTTGAGACAAAAGCAGATCACAGCATACGTACAATGTTTATTCATACCCCACCTTGATCAATACTTTACAGGTTCTCGTTAATGTTGCAATATTCTTTGGAGCATTAATTGCATAGCTTATACCACCGGCCACAAATACGCGTCGTTGACGACCAAAATCAAAATAGAGCTGCGGAAGGAAGGTCTGTTGGTTCAAAGTCGTCTCACAGACACTTCCAGGAGAACTTCAACTGTAGTTCAGTTTATGGAGATTTCCCGCAGGCTTCGTCAACGATATATATGATTTGAAAGGGGCATCGTCGCCGCCCACCTGTCTACTCGACATTTGGCAGTCATAGACCAGTTCAAAAAACCCTCCTCGACGCGCTGTAATGCCTTGAAATCTCCTGTCGTCCCTCCCTCAATAAAGGAGATTTATAGGTCTGCCTAGGGGAGGCAACTGTAATGCAGCGTGTGGGCAACGATGTTGTGGTTGCGATGAACGTGGAATTAGTCTTTGGTCATTCGAGTGGCCTCTGGGCCAGTATCCCGTGGGCAGACGAGACAATTCCTTCAACCTCCGCGGGCTCCAGATATCCTTGTCTGACCTCTGGGCTCAATCAATCATCCCCCTTAAGCTTTGCACTCGGGATCGACGCCATATAGTAAGCAGTGATCAGAACCTTGCACAGTTGTTAAGTCTCAGTATGCTGTCTGGCAGCGGATTTTAGATTATAAAACTGCCGGAATCACGCACGATACAGACTTATTTCATCTTATTAGTGTGCCCAGACAGTCCCGCATTGCGTGAATCCCTAGCTTTGCCCTCCAGCAATTATAACGTTGAGTCATAACTGAATGTTATTGGAGTCCTACGACTTACGCGGCAGTCCAACTCTGGGATGTGGATGGCCCTATCCTATATCATTACATTCTTGGAGGCGAAAAATAGTCATTGCGCACTCAGAAGCTCGGAGCTGCTGAAGCAGGGAAGTATCTTGGTGCCGATGATTTGAATGCCATGACAGTAGTTATAGAAGTGTAACAAGAATTGAAGTGAGCGCTGATATAGAATGGGCGCTTGCAAACTACGCACATGCGCACATGCGGGATTTCGAGCGCAGACAGCTGTGTCTTCTGCAGACCATGTCGGTCAATGATCCCCTCGCCAATGCCCTCCCATCAGCGTCTGCTCATCACTCTCTCATACTTATCTCCACCACTCCTTCCTTGCACGACCCACCACCACCCTATCCCTCGCAAGAACGCCGCACGCGCACCACACGCTCAGGACGCCGCCGCCGCACCATCGATCAGGCGCACGACAACGTTTCGCACGTCCCAATAATACACACTGCCGGGAGCTCTGACTATGAAACACCTTCGCCTTCAATCCCTCACCAGTACGACGCAGACGACCGGGATAACGATGTCTCGGAGACGACACCCCTTCTGCTTGCGTCCCCACGCAGCCCAGCACGGCTACCGCCTGGCGGCATCACACGACAGCGCACGCTTTCGCTGACGAGCACTGTGCCCTCGTCCGCCTCTGTCGCGCCGTCCTTCGCGCAGACAGTCTTATCGGCGTTCAACCCAGAGCGTGACTGCGATGTCGATCCGGAGTGCGAGGAGCATGTGGGCGGCGGAAGCGAGAGCGAGGGCCGGCCCGACTCGCCACCCCCGCTGCGCAGCGGGAACCTCGACGACGAGCAGCGTGCGTTCGTGGCGGAGCTCGCGAGCGGGCATAGGCAGGCCAGGCAGCGGCACGTCTCGTGGACGACTCGCTGGAGGAGGTACTTCCGCCCGATGGGCAAGCGGGCATACTACGCTGCACTCTTTCATCTTCTTCTGCTCAACTTTCCCTATGCGCTCCTGGCATGGCTGTACCTCTTCGTCCTCACTGTGGTATGTCATCTTCTCAGTCACATGGGCAAGCCTATCGCTCATACTTGCCCAGGCAGGCACGACCACGCTAATGGCATTACCCCTGGGCGCGGTGCTTTGCTTCCTCGACCTTATCGGTGCGCGGGTCATCTCCAGAGGCGAGGTATGTCCTGCAGCAGTCTACGCAGAGGCGGTATCGCTGATCACGCAATACTTTCTGCTAGCTCGCGCTGCAGACGACATTCCATGGTCCGCTCGCGCACAGCGTGCCGCATCCACCGCTCCCCATCTTTATCCGTCTCCGTCCGCCAACCCAGGCGGAACTAGAAGCGGGCCTGACGCTTGTTCCCGAAACGTCGTTCTATCGCAACGCATACGCAATGGTGAGTCTCATGGGATCAGCTTATCGCGCCCGCATTTACGACCATCCGTCATGGCCGCAGTTCACGGATCCGACATCCTACCAAGCACTCTTCTATTTCCTCGTCATCAAGCCGGGCATCACGATCCTCACGTCGCTCTTCCTCCTCCTGCTCGTCCCGCTCTCATTCGTGCTCGTCTTTCCTGCGCCCGCTGCGCTCCGCCTCGCGCGCCGGCTCGGCATCTGGCAGGCGAACGTCGCGTTAGAAGGCCTATGCCTTGCGGTGCGCTAAGTTTTATGGACATGTGTCGGATAGGGCACGCCAGTAGTGTACTTGTAATGTACGTCAGTCTCATTTGTTGTCAGCATCATCATCATCATTGTTTACTGTTACTACATCGAGGATGACACATTCCCGCTTGTCCAATGCATATATGAACATTTTTCCTACACCTCTGCTTCGTGCCTGTTCTGTGTTTTTGGCCTGTGCGGAAAGGAACTCACCCTCTCTAGTATGCGCTGCCCTGGAGCGGCATGCCCTGCGGGAAGAGCTGCTTGAAGAGGTCAGGATAGTGGCGTTCTGCAACGTCCGGGTCACAGCCTGCACAGATTTATTTTTCCAGGGGAAACCTGATGGAAAAATGGTGAAAATATCTTAAGTCTGGATATGAAAATAGTTTGGAAATCAGGTGGAGACAATTGAATTATGTTACAATTGCTTCACTGAAACATATCAGTATCACATATTTTTGAACTGAAATATCTTCCTTTGGGAAATAGTTTCACTATTGCTGATACGTTTCGGTAAAACAATCGTAACATAATTTAATTGTCTCCGCCCAATTTCCAAACTATTTCCATATCCAGACATAAGATATTTTCACCATTTTTGCATCAGGTTTCCTGTGGAAAAATAAATCTATGCAGGCTGTGGGTGGCTCCTGTACGCATGTCCTGTAAGCGGTCCCCAAGCTCCGTGAGCAATGAAGCTGACTCACTTGACCTGTCCGATGAGGTTCACCAGGCCGACCGGCAGGCAGTCGTAGTTCACGGCGAGAGGTAGGTGCGTGCACGAGTGTAAGCGCTCAAAGATTTTGTGCGCCTAACTGTCGATGTTTTTGGCGGGTGCCACTGGAGACATGGAGCCATTTTTCACCGTGTAATATGCATTACAAATGGAAACTGGTATTTTACCTTTGTGAAAAGCATTCATGTCCATCACAATTGGCATTGCATATTCTCAATTTGAGACTTAACATACCATTATGGCAAATCAGTATTACATATTTTATTTATTTTGAGAGTGCATATTTTTAAACACTGCACAAAGACTATGCCAGCATAGAGTATCCAAACACAAATTAGCTCATTGGCCCTCACACTGAAGCATATAGTGGTATATTTGGAGCAGAGCTATATACTCTGTGCATTATTTTACAGTTTCTTCCCAGGTATGGACAAAATAAGTCAACTCAGATTTGCGATGGTGACAAGTTAAGTTACAAATTCAAAATATGTAACAGTAATTGCAATGGCATCAGATCCTGTTTTCGCGCATGTCATCGGCGCTCGCAGTGAGTGATGGTCGTGTCCGCCGCCGTCGTATCCGTCAACTTTGCGTGGTTCACGTTGTATGTTGCTAGGCCGTCTATCTCACCTACAAGTTGATTTTTCTGCGCGTGGCCATCTTCTCGCCTCGATGCAGCTTGCCATTGGTCATGCTCCTGTAATCAAGGGGTGCGCCCGTCCACGCTCGAACGTGTTCGGTGCAGAGGATGTAGATTCCGAATGTGCGGTCCCTGTCAATTTCGCTGCCGATAGTCGCTTTCTTTATTGTGGCTGCTTCGACTCTCAACATGCTGCTTGTGTGCCTCCCAGCTGCCGTCGTTGGCATTGTCATCTTCAGGTTTCGTTTCTTGCTCGTACGCTGCCTTACCGCTCACTGATTCCTTTGCTCAGATTGCATGGAATGACTTTGAAACATTGTGCACATAGTGTGGATGCCGTTGAGCGTGCGCTACTATCTCATAAATGTGATGGCTCTTGTCCTGTTACGTTATGTGAGTTTGCTGCTTTCTGTGTTGATGACGTCGTTCCACTCGCTCCTCAACATATTGTTCGTTTACAACAACTGTGGGATGCTTTTCCGCTTGTGATTGGAAGGTTGCCTTCATCATGCAAGTCTTTTCGGTTTGTTTGCTCCTTGAAGTGGTCTGTCGCTTTGGAGACATCGTTCACGTCCGAGCAGTTTGCGCTGGACGTTCCCCTCTCATCGCTGATAATCGCTTTGCCTTTCGATTGCCTGCTCAGGCTGGCAGTTCAGCATGATATCATCATTGCAGATTGTCATCGTAGCGTGGTTGATGTTACTGTGCTTCTTTATGCGCGTGATTGCCGCCATTCAGATTGTGCGTGAATTGTGTCAGTTTTCTGTGCTGTTGATGACGCCGTTCTGCTGTCACGCCCATGTTCTTCCGTGCTGTCCACGAGTTCATCGGATAAGAAGCCTGATTCTTTCATGGGTTCGAGCTGTTCGCAGCCGTATATTGATGCAGTCCGCTTCCCCCCTTCTCCATTGAGTAAACATGCTGCAGCAAACATAGTGAGGGATTGGTGTGACAACTTTGCCCTGAGCATATCGGAGAGCATGTGTGCGCGGTATGTGCTCGTCTTCTACACGGATCCATCGTCACTCACCAACTGGTGTCGTCTTTGGATATTCAACCGTTGGTGCAGTTTACGGAAGGAATTACACGAACTGAGCGACATTTAAGCACGGACAATGTTGCGGAGCTTTATGGTCTGATTTTATATCAAAAGGATGTGTATTCGTATCGAGGTGAGATTGTCATGGACGTTTGCCACACTTGTCTCACCATACTGCGACGGCACAAGTTATCTAGGGAGTCTCTCACAAATGGGTTGTGGCTGGGTGACGTTCCTCCACAACTACGCAATCTTTCATTCATGGAGAAGCTGGCGATAGCTCGTTGTCATCACAATGCTTTTGTCATTAAGGTCAACAAGGGTCAACGAAAGATGCGGGTGAATGCCATTGTGTTTGCTTAATCAGTGGAGAAGTTCTTTGATGTGCTACCACCTCCTCATGCTGAACTGGACCTTTGTCTTGCAGTTTTGTTCACCGCTCCTTGCGAGCTGACTGACGACGACTTTAAGCATACTCCGCTTCTCTTGCGGCATTCCGCTCTTCAACGGTCTCGAGCTGTCAATGAAGGAGGACGTCAGCATCGCCGATAACGTCTTCATCTGACACCTCCTGCTCACCGGCCCTCATCAGCTGTACATTAGATACTAGTTCCACATTTGCCTGTACAATACTCTCCAAGTGCTGCTACCTGAACCCTTTGTAATGATGTCATTGTCCACAAAATATTACTCTCACTTCACCCATGCGAGTAATGCAACCAATTTAATCATCTGTTTCACTCATCTTCTGTTGCTCCCTCGCCGCTCCCCTCACTAGTCATTCAGAACCGGGCGTGCGGACGCAGCGCCGACATCCACAAGTACAGTCATGGACAGCCAAACACGACAATTTTAAGAAATATTTCTAAAATGTTCGATATATATCAGAATCGATCCGGATTGATGAGAGGGTGTCTGTAAATAAATTTGAGGCAAATTCTTCGACCTGTTAGCCCACAAAAGGTGATTTTCTGGTCGAGAACTATTTAATATTTGGTGGACCCCTCAAAAAGAGGCCTAAAAATGCGCCAGTCGACTCCTTTTTGAGTTTCTGTACATCATTCTGTTGAACATTTGCCAAAAATAATGATGGAAATTCAGCAAATAATTATGCAAGTTGGCCAGTGACTTGAGCTCAAGACCAACAAATCATACACGGTACCTGATCTATATGTTTGTGGCTGAAACAATTCTGATTTTGGCCTAAACAGTTAGCAGATGCCAAAAATGCATGGGAGAAATACAAAGAAAGTGTTTTTTGATGTTTCTCGACACTTTGAGTCTGTATCTGCACTCAAAATTGAAAAGTAACGAGCCGTTCAGGCAGAATAAATTGATTTTATTTTTGTCGTGCTTGGTTGTCCGTGACTGTAGTAATAGTGAACAATGACGATGATGATGCTGACAACAAATGAGACTGACATACATTACAAGTACACCACACAAAGTATTTGGTGCCTCCGCCAAAAACTGTGAACCAAACTGTGAACTGTCACGGCACGCCGATGACAAAGATAGACAACCAAATATAGAGTCCCCTTGAGGGTCTCCTGGCTAAGAGCCAACAGCGACGAGCTGCGGCCGTACGACGTGCCCACTGACGAGGCCCTAGTGCTAGTCGCAGAGTATGACTTACTGGTGAGGCAGGGGGCGCTATCATAATAGTGAGGATGTAAACTGATGTATAGCACACTGAGAGTGTCTGGTAAGACCTCTCTGTGATGGTAGTGGAGGACGAAGGAGAATAAGACTGAGGTCTCCTCCTCGTCTCGCTGGTCCTTATATACATGATTGCTATGCTACTGTACAGTACTATCTAAGTGAGTCACACGCTATCTTACTGGTCAGTGCTACAATCATACGACATGTCCCAATTATCCTGATTGGCTGCCTAATAATAACCCACGGAGACGGAGCTCCTCTTGAGCATGCAATATGGCATCATAGCGATTGCGACATATAACGCCATGCCGAGGAGTTCAGTGTCACATGTCAATGCCGAGAGAGATCTGAGGTCATGTGACTGGATGCCTCGTTATCTTATCTCATTAGGCCACGTGACTTCTTGTGCGAGGAGAAATGATGAAAAATGATATGCTCCTTAATAGCATTTGTTCCTATAATGACTTTTGTCAGGTAAAACCGTGACATCACCCCCTTCTCAAGGTTCATTGTCCCGATGAGCCAAAGCCTTTGGCGCCTCGTATGGTTCGCTTTGCGAGTGAACTATCTGCTTCAGAAATGATTCCTGGAGCGTAACGTTCGCATATGAGTTGTGCGACACAAAGCTTCTTCTTCTCGTACCACCATGTCCGCTATAAGCGCCCAACAAGTGACTGCCAGCGAATCGAACATGGAGGGCATAGGTGTCGAGCGTACTCCTCCGGGAGGGTCTCCACCGCCAGCGAGCGCAACGACGTCGGCCTCAGCGCCGACGAACACGCACCCGCCGGTCCACGATAATATGCGCGACACCATCAGGTCCCTGCGCAATAATTTGAACAACCTTGCTGTCGGCGTGCAGCGTGTTATCGAAGGTCCCTACGTGGCCGTGGCGTACTCCGACGAGTTCGAGAATTGCGCCGTTGCGCTCTCTACCTGCATTCGCGACTTCCACAACGCTCTCGTGAACGACCCCCTTATCGTCGACACCGAGGCTGGTGCCCAGATTCTGCCACTCTACCAGGGTCTCTTCCATCAGCAGCTTGCCAGTGCAGCTGTCCTTCTCGACGACGACACCCTCATGGACGAGGTTCTGCGCACTCGCCCGCGCACTGAAGGCGCCCTCCCCGTCGGCATCGATGTGCAGGCTGCCCTGACCAAAGCTGTCGAGGACGGCGTTCGCATGGCCACGTCAGCCATCAACACGTGGCTATCGGCTATCGAGGCCCAGCTAGTACGCGGGCGGCCGCTGCCACACCCTCCTCAGGCCCCTGAGGGACCGCGACCCCAACCTCCGGTCTGTACTGGTTGTCAACGTGCACCCGCCGCCACCTCTGGTGCTGCTGCCCCTGCAGCGCAGCCTACGACGCAGCCTGAGGCGCAGGCCCTGAATACCCCAACCATGGCACAGGTGGCCGCCAAGAACTGCGAGAAGTGCTACGTCCTTCTCATTACTTCCGAGCAGCATGCTGCCATCGAGGCAGGGGGTACCATGCCCCAGTGGTATGCTAAGGTTCATACGCACCTGCGCGAGACCCCCACGTGGGCAAAGGTACGTTTTCTCGGTCTTCGCTTCGCTGGACCGACCAAGGTCCAAGCGGCGTTTTCGCATGATTCCCCGGATGCGCTCATCAAGGAGTGTCTCCGGCCCATCCATCATCTGCTGGGCGTGGTCCCACGCGCACTGTCCCCTGCACTGGGCCCTCGAGAGCAGGCATCTGTCCCACAAGACTTCCGCCCTCTCGCCCCGGTAACTAAACTTTTCCTTCCGAGCTGCCCGCTCCGTCACCCTGACTCGGGAGACATGCTCACTGAGGAGGAGATTCTGGCGGAGCTCCGCCGCAACTCCATGTTTTCCTCCATTCATTTCAATGGTCTTCCCGGATTTGTCGTTCCCCCTGAGCACCGCGAGCAGCTCGGGAAATCCTCCCTTATCATTTCTATTGAGGATGTGCACTGCGACTTCTGCGCGCACAACCTCCTGGGTCGTGACAACCGCAGTGACGCTGCTGGTTTTGTATGGTTTTACGGTTCTCGCCTGATGGTTAAGAAGTCGAAAGATCGTCCCGTGTTCCGTCAGTGCACTCGTTGCTGGCGCCTCACACATCTCGAAAGTCACTGCAAGAAGCGGGCACCAGTATGCCGCTTCTGCGGAAAGACTACTCACACGTCCGATATGCATCGGCAAGCCTGCCTTGTATGCAATCATGAGGCTCGCCCGGCTGACCAGCCTTGCGAGTCTGCTCACTATTTCTGTGTGGTCTGTGGCACCAATGGTCACAATGCTGCCGACACCACCTGCCCTGCGCGGAAAGATTACCGCATCCCTATCTCGCGCACCAACCCCTCATCATGAATGTCACAACTGCGCATTTGAATGTGGCCCGGTCTAATCCGCGCGTCCACGGTTTCGTTTCTTCCACTTCCTACGATATCTATTTCCTTCAAGAGCCATGGTGGGGGCAAATCGGCATCGATACCCCCCATGGCTCTGAGTCAGGCGCTACTGTTTTTGGTCACGTCAATGTCTGGCCCTACGGCCTGGACGCCTATCATTTCCCCTCCACCTCTGCGCTGCCGCGACCTCGAGCCAGCATCCTGGTCCGGCGCGTGCTCTTAAACACTTATCACATATCCATGCGTACCGACCTGGTGTCGGACCCGGATGTGGTCGTCCTTCATTTTGTCTCACGCTCTGATCCCACCCACGACTTCTTCGTGGTCAACTGCTATAACGAAGGCTCGCGAGCCCAACACCGCGTTTTGCCCACTCTCTATGATATCCCTTTCCCACCGCGAGCGAACCTCCTTGTCACTGGAGATTTTAATCTCCACCACCCCCTATGGTCATGGACCGGACGGGCCTCCCGCTCTGCTTCCACTGCCTCCACCGCTTTCGCTGGGTGGCTCGAGCGCGAGTCACTCGAAATTCTTAATGACCTCGATCAACCCACTCACATGGTGAATGGCGACCTGCTCTCAGGCACCATCATCGATCTGGTCTGCGCAACCTCCAGTGCGCAATTTCACGTTCATGGAGTCGCTGCTACTCCCACATCCTTTGAATCGGATCACGCTCTACTAACCTCTACTCTATCTCACGTTGCTCACCCCGTAGACGTTGACCTTGGCTTTTGAGTCGATGTGTCCAAACGAGATGACTGGAACACGTGCCTTGCCCGCGAGCTGGTGCTGTCCCCACCGCCGGCCACCTATACCACCAATGACGACCTCGAAGTGGGCGCTCAGGCTCTGCTGTGAGCAATGTCCGTGGCCTGCCACGAAGTGTTCCCCCGATGCACACATGCTCACCGGGCCTCCCAGCTCTGGTGGAACGATGCATGCGACACTGCCCGCGCAAATGTCCAGGCGGCTCCTACTCGTGAGGAGAGGCGAGAAGCCAAAGCCACCCTCTCGGCCACCATCCGACAAGCTCGGAAGGATTGGACTCGGGAGGCGGTCGCGCGACTCCAGCACACTGACCCCTGGTGGCTCGCCTCCTGGACCAAAGGAGTGCGGGCGCCCCCACTGCCCGTCATCCGAGCGGACGGGGTGACCGGCTCTCTCCCTGCCGACGCGGGTCGTCTAGTCACACGTTTCTATTTTCCGGCGTCTCCGCCCTTGCCTAATCTGCCTCCTCTCTTTACCTCTGCGCCTCCGGCAGCGCACCCAGACCGCCCCCTCCTTATCACTGAAGTAACTGCCGCCATCGAGGCGACGTCTAACTATTCAGCGCCTGGCATCTCCGGAGTGTCGTGGCGACTCCTTAAATGGGTCTGGCGGTCTGGTGCGCGTCATGCTCTTTTTCTTTTTCTTTCCTCTTCTTTGCGTCTGGGTTACCTCCCCGCCCCACTTCGGGCTGCAGCGGTTGTGTACTTGCCCAAGCCGGGCAAGGCGGATTACACCGCACCCAAGTCCCACTGACCAATTGCTCTCCTGGAAACCTTGAGCAAGGTCCTCGAGAAAGTGGTTGCTGCTCGTTTCAACTTCCAGATCGGTGCGCACAATCTTGTGCCCGGCTCACAGTTTGGTGGGCGGGGCCAGCATTCCGTCGTGGATGCCGGAGTCACTCTGATGCACCGTGTATGCACTGCCTGGGAAAACAGTTTCTCTGCTACCTTACTGTGCATGGACGTCGAGGGCTATTACAATAACATCCGCCACGACGTCCTTCACTCTGCCCTCCTTTCTATGGGCTTTCCCACAAATGAGGTCCTTTGGACCATGTCCTTCCTTTCTTTGCGCACTGTGCGGCCCAAACTCAATTCAGAGCTGGGTCCATCATACACCGTCGCTGCGCTCGGCATCCCACAGGGATCGCCTCTGTTGCCAGTCCTCTCTACCATATACTCTTCCCCGCTGTATGCAAACCTTGATCCATTCGCGCATCCCCAGCAGTCTACGGCGGGCTACGTCGACGATTTTTCCCTCCTTATTGTTTCTCCCTCACTGAACGAGAACACGGCCATCATCCAACGCACTCTACCGAGTGTGGGCACCACGCTTCGCCAGCTTGGGCTGACCATAGGCATGGCGAAAACTGAGCTTATCCACTTTACCTCCCCGAGACGCTCCCTTGACGTCAACCCTCCCCTGCGGGTTCAGTGGGAAGGGCGGGATATCACCATACAGCCTGCTTCATATCTGCGATGGCTCGGTATCTGGTACGACCGACGCCTAACCTTCACCCACCACATTCGCGTCATGGCGGCCAGGGCCTCGTCCCGTGTAGCCGCTTTCCGCATGCTCACCAACACACAGCGAGGCATGACGGTCGCGCAAGCCCGCTTGCTATACCTTACCACCATCCTTCTCGTACTCACCTTTGGTAGCCCCGTGTGGTATAACCCGCGGGGCCCATGCTCACTCTTTCAACCTTTGCAACAGGTACAAAACAATGCACTGCGGTGGTTCATGGGAGCATGGCGGTCTACCCCCCACCACGTCCTCAACCTCATATCCAGCGTCCTGCCAATGCGACACCAGCTCGACAAGCTCAATGGCCTTGCCGCAGCTCGCCTCCTCACCCTCTCCGAGTCCCATCTGGTGACCCACTGCCTGGCGGCCAACCGCACTGCCCACCCGCCCAACTTCTCCCTCCTCAACCCCACCATCCCTATCCACCACGGCACTAGCACGGTGGATGTGCTCGAACAAACCCTGCCCAAGAAAGCGGTGCGCCTTCTCCCCTGGTTGCAGCCGCCATGGGACCCTGTGCATCCGTGGGGTGAGAGGGTTCACGTCTGCATCCCACCGCCTACCAAAGACGGCTCCAAGGAGTACCTACGTTCCTTTTTCTTCCCTCTTTTACACTCTTCCATCCCTCTACCCGACGCCCTATGGGTCTTCACCGACGGCTCCCAAATCGCCCAGCCCGATCCTGCCCCGCGGAACCGACGAGCAGGTGCAGGTGCGTGTATCATTCACCAGGGTGCGATAAAGTACGAGCGGGCTTGGGGCATGGGCCACCAGGCTGAGGTGTATGACGCAGAGCTCTTCGCAATGGCAGCGGTCGCCAGCCGCTTTGCCGGTTTCCTGGCGACCTACCCCATGGTTACTCACATTTACCTCTGCGCGGACAACCGCGCTGCCCTGTCCAATGTCCTGTCACTGAGCCCACACAGTGGCCAGCCATTTTCTCTTCGCTTTTGGGCACTTCTCGCTCCTCTCATGGAGCACTACCCACTTCTCAACATTTCTTTGCTATGGGTTCCCGGGCATATGGGTGTACTGGGTAACGAGGTGGCGGACCGGCTAGCCAAGGAAGGCACGTCCCTACCCGATAGTGTCCTACCCACTGTAACGTGGATCCGGCGCTGGGCGCATGAGCGAGCGACCACCTCCTGGCAAACCGATTTCCGTTACACCGATCGACCCACTGCAATACGGTCCTCGTGGCCGTCCCTGCCTTCCCAGACGCTACACCCTGTTTTCACTTCCAAATATTATGAACGCGACGTCGAAGCCAGGTTAACCCAAGCCTTAATGGGCTACGGCTACCTGGCCCCTTACTTTTCATCTCAATTTGGAACGGCGGGCCCCGCTCGTCACTTCCATGGTGCACCCTGTGTATGTGATCTAACCACCCCCAGCACCCGCACCCACGTCATGCTGCGCTGCCCGAGGCACACGCACGCACGGCACCTGCTCTTCCGGACCCCCGAGCCCACCCTCCTGGATTTACGCCGGCTATGGCACCACCCCACCGGCCTCCATCGCCTCATCGCTTTCATTTCTACCATGCCCGCTTTCTCCGCCGCGGCCCTCGCGCCCCCGGACCCTGGCTGATACGCCTTACCCTCGCGGCACTTCTGTGGCCGACCCCTCTATTTACTCATAGTCTACACGTCGACACTTCCTCGTGCGGTTTCACTCCTGTATTTACACCCTTCCAACCGCGCATAGCGCGGTATAAAAATAAA